TATACACACATACATACATACATGCATACATACATACATACATACATACATACATACATACATACACGCCTTTGTTCATTACAATATGTTTTTTTTTGCATTCGCATAAATGTGCAAAAACACATGAAAACAAATTTCGGATGTTCGGATTCGCATCGAACAATCAAATAAACCTTGGAAATTTTAAAACTTCAGCTCGTCCTGTTCCAAAATTATGAAATTAGCAGTAGCGGTCATTTATCAAACCAGAACGTACTTTGAAGATTGATTTTAGATTATTCATCCCGCCCTTTCAATGAACCATGCTAAATGTACAGCTTTTTTCATCTCCTTACTGATATAAGCCCCAGTCCAAACGTTTCAAATCAAGGTAGAAGAGTAAGGGAGAGTAATGTCAAGTTTTTTATCTATACATTGCCGGAGGCCATAGTACTGAAATTTCAATTTTCTGACATTCAACGCCCTAAAATTCACTTATCCGAAGTGAAAAACAGGCGTGTACGCACAAAAATACATACGCACAGATATGATTTCTGTGTAACGCATATTTTACTTACAGGAAAGGTTCACAAAAAATAGAACTTACTGATGAGCAAAAACGAAATGGCGCTCCAAACAAGCAAGTATAAAACAACATAAAAATTGAATTAACGTTAAGTGCCATCCAAAAGGCTGCATACCATCTAGTCGAAAAATTAGCTCCTGTAAACAAATGTATGGAGAAATTTACACAGTCTGAAAGGAAAGTAATTTTGCGATTTACTCGAATACGAAACAAATATGGGATGGTATGGTTTTGGTTCCATTATGGTATTAGTGAGTTTGCGCAATCAATCGAATACCTGAATGAAACCGTATGCGATGTAAAATGTAAGTACAACACTGCTAAGCACGATAAATCGAAGCCATCCCGGCCTGAAATACATTCGCAAACAAGAAATGAGCTTTTTATGAAATTATAATAGCCGCAAGCTGTTTCTAGGGAGTAAGGAAAGAAGCGATCAATCGACCCTTAATCAAAGTGCCAAAATAAGGCCGAATCGAGCACATCATCGCTGTCTGAAATTGATACCTGCCCCAGCACTGTGCAAGTACGACGAACCCTAGCAGCTTCTGATTAAGTCCGGAAATCACTAGCACTCATTATACTAAATAAGGCGATAAAAAGCACTGTCAGCCTGAACAACAGTACGTCGCCCTGCCTTTCGAATCCATGGAAGTTTTTGGCGCGAGAAGCTGAAAGGTTGAAATTATAAGGCCGTATTAAGAGAATTTTAAGGGAGTGGTGTCCCCAGCCCAAGTACAAATTAAAGATCCAAATTGAGGCTCCAGAATTGCGTGATTCTCACGTGCGGCTCCGTAAGAATTTTCAGCGAGAAAATTGCTGACTCGGAAACCAGAAAAAGCACTGGCGGCGC